CACCTCGTTCCTCCCAACCTCTACCACCTCATCCTCTCTCATCCCCTCCACCGTCTTCTCCGAACTAGATGGAGATGGACTGCTCTCTGAGTCCATACCCCCATAGTCTAAAGGCATCACCTCACTCCCAATCACACTTTCAGTTCCTTCTGCGGACATTTTCTCAAACTCTGCACGAGGTAGGGGGGAGGAATGAAGTTAGGACCCATTTAAAAAAAATAAAAAACCTCTATTACACATTCAAAATCCCTCTCATCTCTAACCCTAACTTCCTTCAAAGAACTCTAAATCAATCATAGAAAGGGAGAAAGGAGAATGACACTTCAATTAACTTAAAATCAGAGTTCCGTCTACATTACCTGATTTCGGTTTCAAAAGACTTGATTTAGAGTTCCCTAGTTGATGCTGCAGTTCACGCACAGGAAACGCACAAGTAAAGCTTCTCGCAGAAGTTTTGCAGGAAAAGAAATGCAAGTAAACCTTTTTCTGCAAAAAAAAATGCCTATTTATACTTCTAGACAAAATTAGATCTCAACGGCTGAGATTCGTTTAATCTTACGGTCACTGTTGACACCGTTTGGAATTCAACGGGCAATCCCAAATGGTACCATTTGGAACTTGACGGTTCATTTTTTAATTTGCCCGTTTAACTGTCGCAGTTATCTTTTTACGACCGCATTTATTGCACATGTCACTTCAAAGACAACTGTCACACCACGTGTTATCCCTTTGTCAGATTTTTCAGAACGAACCCACTCACGACCATTTCTACACCTTTGTTTACTTTTCTCAATTTTGTCAAGTGTTTCACTTCGGCTCCGGCCACAATAATGCTGCATTACATTTCACATCGACTTCGGCCACAGTGATCCTGTATCACACATTTTATTTCGGCTCCGGCCATTATGACTCCAGTCATTATATTTTATTATTATGGCTTCGGCCATTTTGATTCCCATTTTTATATTTAAGCTTAGCTCAGCACTTTTGTTTACTTATACAATTACACTTTTAAACTGACAATGTTTTACTTCGGCTCCGACCACAGAGACACATGTTTTACTTTGGTTCTGGTTACTGTGACTACATGTCACATATTCTACCTCGGCTCCGGCCATCATGACTCCGGTCATCATATTTTATTATGGCTACGACCACCAAGACTCCGGTCATCGTCTTTTACTATGGCTGCAATTACGATTAATACTAGTCATTATTTTTACACGACCACAGCCATGATCACTCCGATCATATTCTATTTAAGACACTCCCAATGTAGTCCACTGTTACATATTTCATTATTAGCTACTGCTATGTTTACATTTAAGTTACAGACCTTATTTCTTCTTCTTACATCCACAACCTATCCTCATTCTCTTTGTTTATGCACTCCCCTCAACATCCCCAATAACATCATTCACAAGTGAATGACTTCAGGGGGGGAATAGTGTAAGGATAGGTCTGAGGTGCTAAGCCTCAGACTACTACAGTAATTCCCTTATGACCGAAGTGAGGAATAAATCCAAAGCTTCCCGCTCAAATGGCTGCATGACAAGGACAATAAGCATGCCCGCACCTGATCCCTTGCGATGAGTGGCACAGCAAGTATGGTGGACGCTCGTGCATCTTGATACCCCTCAAATTCCCGGTCCCGGAATAACCGTCTGGAGGGACACATCAGGCTCCGATTATCTTGCTTGGCATGCCACATGGGTTCCTCATTGGATCCTATAAATACCCCCAGAGGCCACCTCAGAAAGGTAATTGAAACCAACCCTAAGCTCTTTTTATCTCCGCCCTAAAGGTAGCCCCGATTATTGCTGACTTAAGCATCGGAGTGTTTACCCCGAGTTCTACCTCGGGGCTTTGCAGGTCATCTCGGAGTACAAGCACGGATTGAAGAAGGACTTCAGGTTTGGTGCAATTACACCATCTCTAGTTCGCAGATGACACGGTTTTTAAGGGAAAGGACAATGCAGAACATTATGGCAGGAAAGGGGTTCTTCATTGATTTGAAACTTTGAATTAGCTTAAGGGCTTAATATTAATTTCAACAGAAGTGTTCCTTACTTCATTTTTAATTTCTTCTCACTTCTTTATTTTTTTGGATTTTGAACTAGCTCACACATTTGAAGGATCCTCAAGGCATGTTAGAGGATCAAAATTAGCATCATAAGTTCCAAATCCTCAAAAGATACTTGACTTTATAACGTCATACGGTCAATTTCTTCAATAGTATCTTGAGACTCATTCTCACATTTAGAGGATTGCCTTTTCTTTAGTACTTTTGCAATTTCTGATTTTTCACATGCAACTTGATCATTTCCATATATAATCACAAATGTATCATATTGCAAAAACTAATTTTATCATCCACTCTTTAACATCATTGTTAATATACAAAACATCAATATTTAAAAACAAAATTAATTAATTTAACTCAAGAAAAACATTAGCAAGAAAATTTAAATTAAGATTATACCTTTATTAATGCATCACTGTCCTTAACAAGGAAACAAAGGAAAAGAAGAGCATTCTATGGTGACAACTAAGGAAGAGCAAGAGGCATGGAAGGGGATTCTTATTCTGGTAGCTATGGCTTTAAGTGATCTTCCTGCTAGTGAAACTATGGAAATTATGGTGGATAGGTTTTTTTTTAACCATGAAGGAACGCAGTATATGCGGCTTAAAAGGCACAAAATTGGTTAGGGATTTGGACCTTCTAACCATTATTGGGAAAGGGGCTTTTGGAGAGGATAGAAATAATTACAATTTTTTAGTCAAATATATATATTCTGAGCTTTAACCATTTGGATACTTTTTTCAAGCATATACCTATACAATTAAAATCAGAAGTGCAGATTCTTTTATCAACAATATAGGAGCAATTTTTACACCTTAGTCCCCTCTTACCCCCTCCTTTTTTTGGTTCCCATTCCGTTCCTTTATATGGGAGATAATTATTTGCCAGTATCCTCTTCCTAAATCCTTTACCTCCAAATAGGAGTGTTTGCAATATAGTTTGATTCATATTCTAATATTTTTTAAACCAATTCAATTTAATCGGTTAGCAATATTTTTAAACTAATCCAATTTACTATTATATAACAATCAAACTAATTTAACTTAGATCAGATTGGTATGATTCGGTCAGATTAATTAGTTTTTAACACTATTAAATATATAAGATAATATGAAAAATTTTAAAATTAAGTAGAAAAACATAACTATAAAACACATCAATATCAAAATCAGTAGAAATATAATAAAAGGTACAAATTGTAAATAAATTCTTAACTCCTTTACAATTGTAAAGATTTAAAAGATTTAAGAATTCTTCTTGGCTACTTTACTAGAGGTAGCAAGGACAATAAAAGATGATTCCAAATTTCAAATAGAGTGCAAGTAATTCTTAAAAGTTAAAACTATATAATATATATATATATTTCTTTTTTTTCTTTTTTTTGCTTAATGCATCAAATGATTCTGTCCCATCTTTCAAACCCTATTAAAAGCAAATGAAATTTAGCATAAATATCACTAGAATTGATTAAATATATTCATAATCAAGATTTAAAACTCCTCAACCACATCCAAAAATAATGCAATATTAATATTAGCTCTATTATATAGTTTTAAGACTTTTAAAATGATACTTCTTTAGAATTTAACTTAAAAAAATCAAAATATCATTTTAGAAACAAATTAGAAATTTAAGATTTTAAGAGTAGAGTTGCAAACCAATTCTGAAGGTTAGACTTGCAAGCAAATTAGAAATTTAGAATTAAGATATACGATTAAGAATGAAAAATAAATTAGGGAATATGAGAATGTTTTATTTTTATTTTTCAATTAAGTTAATAGAGTTATTATCTTATAAAATAAAGAAAAAAATTAAAATATTACAAAAAAATATATTATATTATTTGATTAAGTTATTTTGTAATCAATTTTTTGTTGTAATTTGATAGTTCAAACAATTTGACAGTAAAATCACAAACTAAACTAAATCTTTCAATTTTAAAATTTTATAATTTAAAACAACCCAATTTTATATCAAATTAGTTTGGCTTTTTATTAAATTGGGTTAATTTCAATAAGATTAATCAAATTAAATCAGATATAAATTCCTCACCTCCAAGCTTTTAGTTAATTATGTACTGTTGCCAATATTAGAAGGGGAAGAATTGACGTGGGATTGTACTTTTTTTATTTTAATAAAGAGAACTGTACTTCTATGCCAAAAGAATTGTAGAATAGAAAATATGAAAGTGCGCATCCGGGGAATCGAACCCCGGTCAGTACCGTGGGAGGGTACTATGATACCACTACACCAGATGCGCCTTCAGCTTACTGAGGTGATCACAAAATATATTTAATTAATTATTTGTCCTAAAAGTAAGAGAAATTTATTTCTTCAATTTCCGCACTGTTCTTAGCATTTCATTTTGAGATTAAAAAGAAATAACTAGAATTACAAGAGTAGACTAACAATCTTCATATTTTTTAGAATCTTCTATAGGTAAGTTTCTTATGTTATTATAAAAGAAAGTCTATTATATCATAAAAATACTTGTGATATAATATTTCAATTAATAGAAAGTTGACACTTCAAAAATCTCTATAAATTTAATATGATATCTTAGCATGGAAACCTTAACATTGCTTTTACACATTAACGTGTTAGCTCAGCATAAAAGATGGAGGTTACTAAGTTTCTTAGGGTAAGTGTTCATTTTTTATTAACTAACAAATCACTACAACCAGATGCACCTATACTGATGGAATTTTTCCGTCTGTATACACCTTTTTTCCGTCTGTATACACCTCCTGGGTCTATTCCAACTGAAGTCCTTTCAGTTGGTGCAAACCCCGTCAATATAGGGTCTATACCAACGACAAATCCGTATGTATAGACCTTGGGATCTATTCCGATGGAAGATTTGTCTGTTGGTATAGACCCTGAGAAATTTTATGAGATTTTGCCATGGGTATAGACCTGACCCGTACAAATGGATAATTTCGTTGGTATAGACCCTCAAAAATTTTAAAAAAATTTGCCATGGGTATAGACCTTGACCTTTACAGATGTATAATTCCATTGGTATAGACCTTTTTTTTTTTTTTTTTACAATTGGTAATTCACTTTTATTTTATAATTTTCTCCTACATTTATTATTAATACCATTTTTCTGAGCTATAGAATGATTGTTCTGAAAATCAAAATGCAAGTAGAACTTCCAAAAGACCAAAACCAAATACATTAACTCTACACAAACAAGAAAAAAACACAACTTTGAAATTTCCTAACCATTTGCACGAATCAATCCCTTCAAAGCACACAACTGCTCAAACTAAGCTAGTCTTGACTCTAAAGCAACTGTCTTGTTTCAAGGCCAAAATAGTTGATTACTTATACAAAACAACCAAAAACCTATGGATAAAGAAAGGAAGCTCAAGCTATGCTATGGCCAAAAATATGAAAGGCAGCTATGACTCAAAAAGCCACTGGAGACCTATACTTGTCTATGGGAATAAATTAAAGCATGAGCATTGGCAATATAACAAGCAAGAAAAACAAAATTATAGCCAACTAGAGGTACCAACCTCCTTGAATCTAACAATATTTGCATGCTTCAGCGATCTATGGTTCAGGATTTCCCTTTGCACATGCTCATCAATCTGCAATACCCAACAACCCCTCAATCAACAATCCCATATCTAGACAAAACAGAAAATTCAAAAGAAAAAAAAAAAGTAATGATTTTGATACCCAAAAGAGACAAGTGATGATAATAAAAGTGGAATGAAAAAGGGAGTTAGACTGAACCTTAAGGCCTCTCTCGATGAACTTAACAGCAAAGAGCTCTTCTGTACACTTATCTTTCACTAACTTCACCATCCCAAAATTCCCAGAGCCAATATCCTTCACAATCTCATAACATTCCATAGTTGCGGCAACAATCGAAAGGAAAGCCACCCAATTCATAGATAATGGCTCTCTTTCAGACAAAACATCAAAAACATACAAACTCGAAGCTTTCTTCCTTGAAGAGGATTAGGCTGAGATTAGTTTTGGTATAGAATAAAATATTTAAAAAAGAGAGAGAATAAAATATTGCAGAAAAGAACCTTATATAACTAATAATGATCAATAAACCTTAACCAAGCTGCTGCAAATTGAAGAACCCATCCAATAGACAAGGGATATCCACCCAAGCAGCTCATCATGTTCCTTGTTCTATAAGAAATAATAGTTTATCTTTTTTTTTTCCAATTAACATTTCTTACAGAATCCAACCACAAGTTATATAAAATCAAATATTGATAAAGTAAACTTCATACCTTATAGATACTTGTTCTGCTGAGCCAAACAATTTGATTGAGAAATAAGAAAGTCAATAATAATGCATTCTTTGACTGAAAGAAGAATTAATGAATTCATCACAAAAATAGAGTCAATTAAAAATCCAAAGGAGAACTATAGGAAAACGTTTCTCTATAGTACAATCATACCTTCCCTAGCAGAACAAGTGGAAGGGGAGTTCCTCGAGGAACTGGGCTAATAAGAGCATGCAAATCCTTGACAAACTGCAAATTAACAACGTAAAGCATAAATCAAGCAAGATTTAAGATTTGTAAGAGTATAGATCAAATCTAAAAGAAAAACATTTTTTGATAAGATGTGTAAACTGACTCAAAATTTTTCCAATTTAACAATCTAAACTCATGATAATACCATTATCAAGAGATTGAATGAAAATAATTCGAATTTCTTATTTTGCATTATAAGATGGAGCCAAAACTTAAAAATTCAGAAAACTTTCCTTGCCAAGCTAGTTGATTTGTCAACATTTTGGGATGTGCCTGGCTCCCTTCACTAATGAATTTTGAACCATATTGTATAGCCCTGCATATCTTATCTCTTTCTTTGGCCTTATTTAGATACAAAACAATAAGAGCAAGTTCAGCTTTAGTTACGTCAAAAGTACTCATCTTTTACCCCAAATGCACTTGAAAGGTTACAGTAATCACTTTTCATTTGAGGTAATGGGGTAGAAGGAGAGATAAGATATCCATTCATGTTTCGATATGATGTAAGAAAAATGAAATGAAATTCATATACCAAAACTAACATAATTTGCAAGCATAAGCAAATCATTGTACAAGGAAAGAGGAAGAAAGTGCCCTAAGCCCCTAAGGAAAAGATATGCAGTTGTTCCTCTTAATTTTAATTGAAATAAAAGTGAGAAACTCAACATTCTAACCCAGCTAATTCTAGAAAATCACAAATGAATGAATACAGAACATTTCATAAGTTCATGTAGCAGATAAGTATAAAAATAAATTGAATCATGTAGGTTTAAAGAATTTCAGGTAGCCCAACTCCTACTATCATGCCAATAATCACCTTGCATCAAATATGCCAGTATTTCTCAATCAGAAAGCATGCAAAAATAGGGCCAGATGTCCAATTCTATTATATATCTTTATGTTTTGGGGCAAGGGGGACAGGAAAAATAGGAGACTCAAGAATTACCTGCCGAGCACAAGAAAAAGAAATTCCTTTCCCTTTGTTCTTAAATGTTGACATTCCAATAAACATAGATTGTTCCATGTTTACTGAGTTCCAACCTCCCATTTCCATGTTCGGAGGTAGAGCTGATTGAACACAAGCCTTAGAAGGCATGGCTGGGTTGGATTCAAGAAAAATCTGTTAGATTTGTAGAAGAAAAACTAACTAAAGTTCCAACAACTATTGCCTTGAAGAAAAGAAAACTCTAGGCAACAACTTTATTTCCATGGAGGCCAAAAAACACATTTGGTTGTATTCAACCAAATCAAAATAGAGAATAATATCTAAGGGCTTGAAAAGGCTACAAAAGCAAAAAGTTATTTTAAGAGAATAATAGAGCACCTTAGGTGGAATAACAGCAGCCACTGGACTATTTTTCTTGAGTCTTTAGGCTACCAACAATTGCCGGCAAGATAACTAAATCATGAAGACAAATGCTCTTTTTGCAAGTTGACAACATGTGGTAATCTAAAACAAAAAGTACAGTCAAGTTAACGAAAAGATACAAACAAGTCCCATTTAATTGTGGAAGAAAGAAGGATGAGCTTTTAGTATACTTTATTGCTCAATACAATAGCCAAAAAAATTAAACATGGCATTTAAGTTGGATTGTTGCACATTCTGGGGTTCCACGTCAATTGAATACATACCTGTATTTCTTTTGTGAGGGAGTTTTGAAGCTCATTTTGTACTTTGAATAGAGATGCTTCCATTTGTTTTAGTAAGGTTGAGACCAGCAAGAACATCTGCTGTAACTTTCTAGATTCATATCATTTCCAAGTTGATCTGATATAGATTTCATGCCTTCATCAAGGTTCGTTTTGCTATCTTCAAGTCCCTTGTTCTGTTTAACATGTAAGACAATTGCATAAAATATTCTTTCGTGCCTTTGGCATAACAATTAAAAACAAAACAGCCATTGTATTGCTGCTATTACCATTAGCTGCAGTGAGGCATCCTCAGCAATCAACTTCTGCTGTATCCCATCTGTTGAAGTAAATTTGTGAAGAAACTCTATTAACTAATGCATCATACATATTTCAAAAATCTTGTCTATCTCAGTCCTTTACAAAATCAAAATGA